ACCATGACTTTTGTGCTTTCCCCTGTTGAGCGCTCTCCAGAGACCACCTCCATAACTTCGTTCAGAGAATCGTTTGGCAGATTTTGAATACAGATTTGAAATCAGCATCAAAAAATACGTCTAGCAGTATAGGTCTCATTTCAAATGGCCACTTCGACTTGGGATCCTTCCCTTGTTAGATGGAAGATATGGTTAGCCTAGGAAGATAACGATCCGGGATTCGAACCCGCGACCATGCGTGTGTGAAGTGCATCACTTGCCACCACGCCACTTCCGTCCGTGGTGAAGAATATATTAGAACGATAGTTTGGAAAAAGTCGTATTTCTGCTATCAATATGTTGTGCTATATAACCCCACTCCCTTGTGAACTCTGTTCTAGAAGTCAGACAGGTGTGAGATGAGAGCCTAGAAAACGTTGGAAGAGGACTCAACAGGGGCCGCACTGGTCGAGCCATCCCTCGAAAAAGCACATCTCATATGGACATTTACCAACAGTGAAAGTTTTCTATCTTCAGGGCACAAGCGCGAATTTATACTTGCATCGTCGGAGGCCTTCATCATAAAACAGGCTTCTTGTGGACAGCGCCAGTACTCCCAGGAGGGAATTCTCAGCTAAATCTCAATACGAATTACAAGGGCCTAAAATACAGCTCTTTGCATGTTGTCAACAAACAGGCACCCAAGTGCAATGCTTGCTCAAAAACCCGATTTTAGGCTTATGCAGCAAAAGCTCTTGAAAATCAGGACCTCCTAAAGCGTCGCGTAAAAAGTTGATGTTCTTGTTGCGTAGTGATTATAGTGATTACTTACTCAGTGATTAATAGCATCGGACTACAATCAACACGTAAGAGAGGCAGGTGGTTTTTTGAAAAATACACTGCTATCAAAAAGAATTAAGAACTCCCGTAGCTCTGCAGAGAAACTATGATTAGCATTACAATGGACAGCAAACCTGACGATTACTCAGTTTCCAAAATGTGCAAGACATTCGCTAGTAGTCCGAAAACAACAACAGCTGGTTCACCTGTGGCAATATAGAATGGGCAGCCTCCAAAAAATCTTCACGAATCCTTAGATAGATCTCCTCACTTTTACTGATTAAGGCATTGTAGCGAGATTCAGCTGAAATCCAAATTACGGAACGATTCCAGACAAGACTAGCATAATGTTCCAACCCACCTTCTTTCTTGTGAGCATCCAAAAAATTCAAAATATCTCTTTCGAGCTTTTCCTTAACTGTAGCATTCTGCTTTGTAACATGCTTCCGTGACATATTGTGATCGGGTTAGTCAGAGATCCTGCAAGGCATTGTAGTAGCGATTACAACGAAAAAAAGATTGATAAGAATTAGTATGACGGTTGCTCAATCCTAACATTGCTGTTACAAACTTTACATCACTGATGACATACTCATTGGCTGCACTCATAGTCCCGACGCCTACCCAGGCGTCTGCACTATGAATGGCGATTGATCTATGATCGATCCTGTGGACAACGAATCATGCTATATTTAAGAGATTATTAAGCATTCGAAACGTCTACTATACTTCGCTGCTCCCCATATATTAACAGCCTTCAGCTTTTGCATTGAAAGCTATAAAGGTTCAAATTACCCACGAACGGTTCCTTCTTACAGGTGTTCTCGAGAAAAATACAACGAATACCCATCTATTTTCTTGCCCTGAAGGAAAAAATATAGATCGCTTTCTCACGAGCATGATCCGAGAACCGAATCCTGGATCGCCGATTACCTTAGTACACCAAGCCTTCCATCTCACCGTAGTAGATTAATTGGTATCAGACTCTAAGACTAAGTAAGTAGGAAATAGCACTGACTTTTACATAGGGCGGCCATAGCTAGTCATTGTTAAGCTAGTCTGCGTTTAAACCCTACGATTCTAAGTGGAAGTCAAATGCGAATCGCACCCCAAAACGGGATTAATCGAAGTCGAGTTTCTATCCTTTATATAAGCGCTCAGGTTCAAAAGATGTGTGCAGTCGTCCTTCTTGATAGAAAATGCTCAATTACGAATTTAAATGCAACTTGAACTTGAAAATTGAAACGTGAGGGACAGGAAGGTAACAAAAAGCGTCGCATGTTGCCGTTATCATCGCGAAAACACGAACAAATCCTCAAAAGCATGAAGAATCTTAACTCAAAAACTCAAACTCAAGAGCTCGTGCAGACAAAATTGAAATTTCAGGTTTCCCGCGCCCAACCTGATATAAACTCGTACAAGGCGCCGCGATAGGCGTCAGAAACGGCGAGCGCGGCGTCGTATATCGATGAGGCGGATGGTTTCGGTAAGGCTGTTTCCAAACCGCAATACATTGTTAAAGCTTTTTTCCCTCGGAAACAATCCAAAAAAGTCTAAAACTGCGATATTTCTAGCATCAAAATGGGAATGGAATTTGAGTTGCCGCAATCGCGTGCTATTCCGATTCCAGCAGAAAATGTACGGATACTCGAATCTCCATCGGACTTTTACCAATTTCTTCTGGTAAGTAATTCCTTTGGGTTTTTTTCTTGAAACCTGAGTTGCTAGAGTGTCCAGAAAGATTTGCTTGTTTTGAAAATTTGGAACATTCCAATCGATTTCGATGGTAAGTAAAGTATTCATGGAGCATGTGGGAAAAATTCACTTGTATACACCGAATTTGGTGTTAACCATTGTGTGATTAGCTTAAATCTCAGGCTAATGCTCCATTTTCCTCCTTTCGAAGTTCTGATTCGACGGGTGACATGCTGCATGCCAAAGGAAGCGAAGGAGCAAAAGTTACTCCTGATTATTTTGAATAGAGACATGAATATGAGTGAAATACATTTGAGGATGACTTCGGTTTCGCTTTGTGGCTGCATTCTTGCACTACGAATGCAAACATCAAAGGTCAGCGTCGACCCGAGGTCGATATCCTGAAGGTCGATGACTATTGCTGCATTAAGTATTATTTAAGCATTAAAGAACGCGCCTGGCAAACTGCATGAAGTTCTGTTTTTTCGTGAGAACGCCCACCTGAATATAACAAAGATGACCCATGATATATTGGAAGATCTCGGCTCCACATTACCTCATCCCTAATAGGCTAAAAAGTGGTTTGCAAGAGACTATAAGTTTTGTGAGTGGGGAAGTGGTAGGCGTTAGTCTTGGTTGACCCATTTTTTTCAAGACCTCAGAAACAGAGGAAAAGAAAAAATTCTGTTCGTACTTTGACCCATATTCTCATTTGAACATTGAATAATTTTAACAGAAGGGGAAAAGGGACTTTTTCCTGCACCATGCACAACAAACAGTGTCTACTACATCGCATAGGCCTCCATAGCTACGCTTTTGTGAATGATCAAATGAGGTTGCTTCAGGAGCGATCGCGTTTGGCTAAAAGAAGAATAACGTTGAGCACTCTTTATCTTGGACATGGATCCTTGGAGCAAGCACTGGTGAGTTACCCGCTTTGCGTCTTTTTTTTTTCTCTGTGAATTTAGTTGTGCGTATCCTTCTACTACTTGGCTAACTATCTCTGCCTGTTGAGTTTCCTGTTGATTTATGGGTATGACAGTACCCACGTATTAGCGTTTGCACCTGAGAATCCATTAAGCAAAATGGATTGCTGAAGAATAAAACAATTTATTTGATAACCTTATGACTTATAGCACTGACAGAGGCCATTCCAGAAGTAAGAGACGATCGCCGCCCTACCACCACTGTATGTAACATCCGATTAACGCATTCGCAGTTACCCAACAATTTTTCAACGTGGCTTCTTATGGTTATCATTTGAGAGGACATGGAGTATATCCATGTAAGAGCAGCAGCTGCCGCCTGATGATAAGCTCGTTGGTGTTTCTCCTTACTATACTTTTCCGGAGCAAAAATTAATTAAGGGTGACCCTTCAATACCCAAACCGTCCCCGATTTTCAGTCATGGATAGCATTTTTGAGCTATTATTATTCGTTTTGAGCTATTGCTTCTTTATTTATTGTTTCTACCTTTTGTTCAGGTTGATGCTATTAACACGAACCTGAACCAAAATAAAGAACTCCAAGTCTCAATCTTGTTGGATTGTTTGCGCGGAACACGTGATGAACGAAAAGGGAAAAGTAGCACAGCGCTTCTGAAAGGAATAGCTGATAGAGCTTCGGTGAGTTTGATTTTATTGATCAGTTTTTTGTGACGACTTTTCTCATTTCAGAGGTTTTTTTTNTTTTTTTTGTGAGTAGGCAGTATTTCGTCCAAAACAAAGTGTATTCAAGGAAAGCCTTCTCCTAATTACTATTTTATTTCATTTAGTGCCTAGGATAAACTTCCGCCTTCACCTTTACTTTAACATTTGAACATTTTCTTATCAATGTACTCATACGATAGAAAACTGTTTTTCAGGTATATCTCTTCCACACACCTAAGCTTGCTGGACTCGTGAAACGATTGCTTCCTGAAAGGACAAATGAAATTGTTGGTCTTCAACACATGAAGCTTTACATTTTCGACGACACTGTTCTCGTGAGTGGGTGAGCTGGTAATAGTTGAATGGTGCGGATCTTAGCTAATCGTTCGAAATCAATACACTTCGAACTTTATCAAACAATTCGCGATGCCAGCTAGTATTTTGTGCTTTTTTACTTGAGGAAGTTTTCAGAGCTAATCTGTCCGACTCCTATTTCGTTGACCGACAGGACAGATATGTGGCATTTGAAGACAACAAGGAGCTGGCTGAT